CTTAAAAAATGCAAAAGTGCATCAAAAATGCATCAAAAGTGCATCAAAAGTGCATCAAATTTAAAAGTGCATCAAAAGTGCATCAAAAATGCATCAAAAGTGCATCAAAAAGTGCATCGAGAAGGCATCAGTGGTGCATGATGCTTTTAACCAGGCTTCAATCATCTTTATTAAAGTGCATCGAGAAGGCACCAGGGGTGCATGATGCTTTTGACCGGGCTTCAATCATTTTTATTAAAACCTTGCAAATCATTAAACACAGGTCCAAAAAAATATCAAGATGGAATTGAAAGTGGGGCCATGGTCTCAATGAGACTTCATTGATGTATCTTTTGAAGCCAGCCAAGGGCTGACTAGAATTTCATCCAAACCTTCTCCAAAGTATGTCATACATTATCACAAATACAGTCAGCTAAGTATCACCCCATGGGCAAACGTTTATATAAGTTGATCAAGGTTTCTAACAAGCAATCCTGAACTTTTTTCTTTTGCCTGGAAAAACAAACTATGATATGGTTCTCATTGCTATGATACTTCATCAGGTTTTATTTTATAGTAATTTTCTTTAGTTTTATTCCAAAGAAAATTGAAGTCAAGATCCAATGTAATTTCCTTCTGTGGATTCATTTATGCTTATGTAAATTCTGTTTATGTGCATCTTGTGCAACAGGCAGCTCCAAAAGTAAATTCCTTATGCCAATCCACCCTTAGTTTTCAGGTTTGTTTTTTTGGGGTACCCATTAGTTACTGTACAAATATAATACATAGAGTAAATCCCAAATAGCATTTTATAAAACTTAACCATGAGAAGTAAGTTGAATTTACTTTTGTTGCTGAGCAATGTTTTGCTACCCACTGCAGTGCACCAAGAAATGATGCATTGTCTCTGATTTCATGTCAGGATTAGATATTTTGCATAATTCCATTTTCCACCAGGGGCCTAGATCTCATGTAAATCCGACCACAAAACCACAACATCCCAAGTAAATTCTTTGTCACAAACCCGCAAAGCTCATGTAAAATCTTCCACAAACACATCTACAAATCTATCACAGCATAACCCATCTCAAGTAAATTCTCTGATGGAAACATGTCTAATCTTTCCCAACCTTACGAGTTTCAAGAAAATTCCTTGTCAGGCACTAGCCAAAAAACAACATCAAAAATGCAAACCCAAAAAAAAAGTTGGATTAGTAAATGCATTTACTAACGTTAGTAAATCAATTTACTAACGTTAGTAAATTTTACTAACGTTAGTAAAAAATTACGTAAATCCACGTTAGTAAATCCCAAAATTTACGTAATTTTTTGGGCACCTAAATTTACTAGTTTTGGAGACTCAGGGTACTTTCTCCGCGCTCGGCACCCCCGTGCATTGGCCATGCGGGCAGCTCACGGCACCCTCGGGCATCTTCTTCTTGCAGATCGAGCAGGGAATGTACAAAAGATCTCCATCTCGCACTTCCGTCAGCCACACGCCCGGCACGAAGACACGAACCTCATCTGGCAACCAGACCTCCGCCACAACACCCGCGGGGACACCGCCACCAGCTCGGTTGGCGACGGGTCGCGCAAAGTCCAAACCAAAAGCCAAAGACGAATTCTTCACAGAAGCTAAGCAAGCGGTGAAACACTTCCCCGTGGCCGTCATCTGCGGATTGTCCGGCTGCCATGGCACTGAGATGGCATCGCCGCCATCAATGTCAACCGCAGCAAATTGTTTCACGACATCTTCTGCAGTCGGTGCCAAAATAAAAGCAGAGCCTCTTTCTGTCTGTCCGGCATGTTCTCCTGTGAGCGTACACGACTGGCCGTCGGAAGTTTGAAGGACTGAGAAGTTCATCAGCAAGACAATCTGCGTTGCGCCATATCCACGCAACTGCCCAGCGAAATTTTTCCCCCAAGCTTCCACCAGTAGACGCTTGTCCGAAGCGTCTTTCACCCACAGCTCCACCTTTTCCTAACATGCAGGAATCAGCTTCACATGCATTTGTGTACTTCGCTACATTATAATCATGGAAACGAAGCAAAATTCAAAATTGCCAAAAACATATCAGGCCTGGTTCTCTTTGATCACACGCCACACGCACATTCAAATCGCAAATCTTGCAGAGTAGATCAGTAGATCTGCTTTGCTTCCCTGTCCCAACGTCGTCAGGTCTGCAATGTGACCCAACGTCACGGGGCCAAAGCTGACGCTTTTCTGCAACGCCACATATGCCGGATCAGTGGGCGCCAACAGTTCCACTTTCACATTCTGCTTCTTCGTCAGATCGATGTACTTGCCACCCGAGTGGTACACACTTTTCTTGAAGCACAGAGCGCGAAAGCACATCAAAGCACCTGGTTTGAGTTTCTGTTGTAGCTGCTCCATGTCAGCTTTGGCACCAATGGCTTCACACCACATGCGGCGTCGAAACTCATCCATCACCAATGCGATGCATTTGAAGAAGCTTTTCACAGGCTTGACGATGCATTCCAGAACAACAACTGGAACTTCATAGCGCACACTTTGCGCGTCCACAACCTCGTCAAACCCCGATCGTAGAAACATTTGCTTCATCTGCCCTGGGGACACCGCCACCTCGGGTTTGGCACCCCAGAGACTACTCAGCATTGCTTGAAGCAGTAGAAGCAACGTAATAACACGTTTTTCCGAAAGTCCCAATGCAGCAATAGAAAAGTGCAACATCAAAGTCACTTTCAATATGCATCCCTGCAACATGACCGGCAACATCGCCACCAGACTTCTAACAGCATGGTATTATGCTGTGCTTTACTTTGCAGCAATATCACAACAACCGCTGCCTCGGGAAAAGCGGCATCCTTGTCAGCGCCTGACAGTCTCTGCGATGCTCGCCACCTCCCGACCAGCACACACCGTGCCATCCACAGATGTCAAGCAACAGAAAAAAAAAGGCTTTCATGTCAAGCTATGCAACACAACAACAAAAACGAAAACATCTCAATTTGCAGCTGGCGAGGATTGCTACAAATGCCACATTTTTTTTTGTCCCAACGACGCATGCTGCCTCACTGTCACCGGGGACAGCGCCACCTGGTTGCACCCGCTGCCCGCTCTCACATCAGCTGCCTACTTGGATGCACCTCGTAGTACACATGCCCACCTTCGTTTCGCGGGCTCGGCGTGCGCAGGGCCCCATAGAGACGCCACTGTGTCGCATCCGCACAATACAGATGCCCACTCTGCAACAGCCGCACCAAGCCAAGGTGGGTCACTGTTACTGGAATCACCACCACATCACGAGCCATGAGCTCAGGATGCGCATCCACCACACTTGCCGCCGCCGCACCTCCCGATGTCTTCAAAGGCCAGTAGCGGCCACATCGCACTTTGGGCGCTTCCACTTTTCCCATGATCTCGAACTGCACATGCTGCTCCGGAGTCATGCCCATATAAAGACGCAGCGCCGCGCCGCCATGGCCAGTCAGCTCACCGCCCAGCAACGGCGGATGATCTGCGCCGGCACCGTCGGGGACATCGCCACCAGACTCAGTAGGCACCAGCGCAAACTCCATGTCACGTTCCTTTCACTGTGGACCTTCCCGTAAGGCAGGAATTTGGTATTCCTATCAGCTTTCGCTCTGCAAGCCAAAGCAATCCCGTCGGTTGATATCAGGACAACACACAAGACGTCATCCATAGGTTTCAAGTTTTAAACCATGATATTTTCCATTCAGCACTTCCAGTATTTGCAGCACACAATTAATCTCACGGATCCGCACCCAATTCACCAGCCTCGACGAGAATCGAGTGCATAAGAACCAAAACCGGTTCGTGGATCGGTACCGTGCGACCTACCAAAATGGTTGATGGCGACGCAATCATTTTTTTCCACTGAAGTAAAACAGACACGATGTAAGACTTGCAAAATGGTGAAGCTCCATGTCTTCCACAGTTATCGAAAAAGAAGATGACGGTACATACAATAATATTTCTTTATTCATCCCCATCAAAGACACCGCCTTCAGCTGTACCATCACCAGCTCATTTTTTTTAATATGTATCAAACACTGCAAGTCCGAGCCGATCAAATCGGTTGGGGCCAGCGCCACCTAACCTCCGCCGGGGCCACAGCTGTACCATTACCACCATATGCATCTATTCATTCCTATCATCAGCCTTTGCTCTGCAAGCCAAAGCAATCCCGTCGGTTGATATCAGGACAACACACAAGACGTCATCCATAGGTTTAAAGTTTAAAAAAATGACATTTTCAATTCACCACTTCCCTTATTTGCAGCACACAGTTGAACTCACACACGCACCCAATTCACCAGCCTCGACGACAATCAGGTGCATGAGAACCGAAACTGGTTCGTGGATCAATACCGTGTGACCTGCCAAAATGTTTGATGACGACACAATCAAATTTTTCACTGAAGCAAAACGGACACGATGTAGGACTTGCAAAGTGGTGAAGCTCCATGTCTTCCACAATTATTCAAAAAGAAGCTGTCAGTACATAGAATCATATTTCTTTATTCATCCCCATCAAAGACACCGCTTTCAGCTGTACCATCACCAGCTCATTTTGTTTATATGCATCAAACACTCCAAGTCCGAGCCGATCGAAACGGTTGGGGCCAGCGCCACCTAACCTGCGCCGGGGCCACCGCCACCTGGTCGCGGCCCAAAGCAGCAAGCCCCTCACTCCAGCTGCACACTCGGGTGGATCTCGTAGTAGACATTGTCATCGTGGTCACGCGGCGCCGGTGTGCGCAAAGGCGCGTACAGGCGCCATTGGTTGGCGTCCACACAGTACAGATAGCCCGTCTGCACCAGCTTCACAACCCCCACATGCGTCACCGTGACCGGCTTCAACACCACGTCATCCACCTGCAGGCCGGGTGAGCATTCACCACACTTTGGGCCGCGGCAGTTTTCCCTGTCTTCAGCGCCCAGTACGCTTGGCCGCCACGACCGACAGGTGCCTCCACTTGGCCCATGGCGTCAAACTGGGTTGCTTGCTGCTGGGTCATACCAGCATACAAGCGCAAGGCTGCGCCGCCATGGCCAGTGATATGGCCACCAGCAAGAGGCGGATGGCTCGCACCGGGGACAGCGCCGCCTGATGCAGCACCGGCCAAAGCGAACGCCATGTCTTCACAGCAGCAGCGGGCAATTTGCCACGGAACACCTTGTAAAGTCTTGGTCACTCTCGAGCCAAAAATACCACAACAAATAAGAGTCTCTGAAGCCATCTAGATTTGAAGGATTGAGCTTGATTGTCATATAAATCAATACATGAAAATCAAACGAAAGGACATCAGACAGATTTGGAAATGAGTCAATTGATCACACGACATGCCCAACCAGCCTGCAACCAGGATCTTTTTGACGGCGGCGCCAGTGAATCCTGGCGGTCAGACATATTGAACAATCAATAAAATCATCATACGTACAGCAAATATACATATTATTTATCCACATATTTGATATATCGATAACTGGCAAACAAAACATGCAATTTCAATAAAAACAAACATCCCAATCGGCAGCGCAAGCATCTTCAACGATGACTACATCAGCCGTACAAAGACAGAACATTTCTTTCCTGTCACCAATGCCGGAAATCTAATATTGACACGCCGAGTATGCTGTTGCCTAATCAGACAATTGCGCGCACTCCACAGTCGCCGGAGCGGAATCAATCACATCGGCGACTGCTGCTGATCCAGCAGCAGCAGTCACCAAAGTCACTAAATCAAACAGCATCACACGAGGTCCTTCAAAGAAATCTCGGAGATCATTTGTTAACGCAGGCGACGGATCGGCAATCCATGCTGCCAGGACATTGAGTCCAGCAGACAGTTGGAAAGTCAATAGACATTTCTTCTCATCGGACAAAGATCCTACGAAGCTAACCACAGACGGCGAATATGGCCGCACAACCAGCCAGTGCAATGGCGATAGCTCCACCTGTGCTTCCTCGCATGGTATCAATGCCCGAGAGGCGATCGCACAGAAAATCGCCAAGGCGCCCCACTGTATTTTCGAACTGACCGCAAAACAAATAGCAGCCACGCCCGCAAGGGCTACATCCAATTGCAACCGATGGCTTTCATCCGCTGACCACTGCACCACGAAGGGAACTGCCAAATCAGACAAGACTGCCATGTCATCGAAGTCGGGGACGCGGCCACCTGACCCGTCTCCAGCCTGTGCAGCATCGCTTGACATATCGCCACCGTTCATCGGTGACACGTTCATAGAGCGACAGCCATACAGCATCCAGCTTGGATGTGTTTTTGAGCATATAAGCAACAACAAACTAATCACTTTCATATTTGTTTTCGTTTTCATGCATTTGGTATGATAAGCAAAGGTGACATAAGAGCCGGCCGGGGACAACTGCCACCAGACCTCCTGAGGCGTGGCACAACCGACAGTATTGTCAACAAACAGCCGGATGCGCTGGCGAACGACGACACAACTTCCCGTGCCTCTGCAGTATCACCACCACGAGCGTCCCAAAGGCAGCACTGTGCAGCAAGCATCACCTTTCGAAACATGTGCCGATGTCAATGAACCTAACGTTGATGTTGCATTCAAAATGCCGATGTCAATGAATCAGGTTAGATGTCGCATTTAAAAACTCATCCAATCTGTTCTAACAACACATCGTGCACGTCCAACAATACAAAGCGGCGCCCACCTTGCAATGAAAATGGACACGGATGTTGCCAAGCTTGTCTGCTACCCGTGACTGAGTTGATCCTACCCTGCCTCCAGACGAGGCAGCGGTCGCTAAATCTGACTTTATCAATCCAAGCACCCAAACGATGCATGTACAAAGCTTTCCAACATTTTCCACAAATCCCATCGGGTGCACGGAGCTTTACTGCTCAGATGCATTGGGATCGGATGCAGTCGAATGCCTTTGGTCGGCTGCACTCAAATGGATGCGGACATGTCCGGGCTGTTGCAACGGATGTTAGCAAAATTAGATGATACTCACCTGGCCGCATGCATTGCACACTCTACGTTTGGTCTTACCCCGCCTCCACACGAGGCAGCAATCGCTAAGTGTGACTTTCTCAATCCAAACACACAATCGATGCATTTCGATACTTTCCAACACTCAGGCAAAATCATATCGGGCGGATGCACAAAATCCTATCGGGTGCACGGAGCTTTACTGCGCAGATGCATTGGGATCGGATGCAGTCGAATGCCTTTGGTCGGCTGCACTCCAATGGACGCGGACATGTCCGGGCTGTTGCAACGGATGTTAGCAAAATTAGATGATACTCACCTGGCCGCATGCATTGCACACTCTACGTTTGGTCTTACCCCGCCTCCACACGAGGCAGCAGTCGCTAAGTGTGACTTTCTCAATCAAAACACACAATCGATGCATTTCGATACTTTCCAACACTCAGGCAAAATCATATCGGGCGGATGCACAAATCCTATCGGGTGCACGGAGCTTTACTGCTCAGATGCGTTGGGATCGGATGCAGTCGAATGCCTTTGGTCGGCTGCACTCAAATGGATGCGGACATGACTGAGCTATTGCAACGGATGTTAGCAAAATTAGATGATACTCACCTGGCGGTATGCATTGCAGTCTCGACGAGTTATTCGAAGCACCACCGGCGAATAGAAACCACGGCCAAGCACCCGCCTCCAAACGTGCCAAAGGATATTGATGGAGATGGAAGAAAAGAAAAACATGAACACCACCAAAGACATGTTCAAGATGGCGCTTGCAGTCGAGTATATGAAGGCGGTTGTCTCAGATGCGAGTTGGATCCCTGCAGTTTGTGAGGCGCATAATGTTGTGGATGGATGGCACATCCAGTCGAAAACAGTGGTTTGCCAGAGAGGAGTCAAAGCGTTGAACGCAGTCGAAGCAGTACAAAATTTGCTCAGAGAATTTCAGCGGCCATACTGCATGGGCTATTTGCTGAGAAGAAACAATCTAGCATCTTGACCGGGAACACACCGGTCCCAAATCCAGACCCCAGACAATCCAAGGAGGATGCACGGCAGGAGAATGCAGATGAAGAGCAGGAACAACAGGACTCAGAGGAGTTTGGGCCCATCCAGAACTTCGGCACAGCCAGTTTGTCAAAGCTTTATACGGATTAAATAACTCCAATGTTCCACTGCTTTTGTACGTCCTTTCGAACTTAGTATAACCATTCCATTTTCGTTGCACCATGTACCAAAGGAATGTGATGCATTTGTCTTGCCCTAGCTATTGTCGAACTTGCTCACGCGGGGACATCGCCACCTGCCAGCTTACAGCAGCGTCGCGTTCATCTGCATGCTGCCACTGCTTCCAAAAGAGTCGGCGGCAAGGCATCCGGTGGGAAGTAGCAATGACAATCGCCGTCTTTTTCAAACAGCAGCACCTGAAAATGCATTTCGTCGATGTAATATAAGCACAGCCATAGACACGGCGTTTCCTTCACTCCAACATAAGCATGCAGTACCTTACCCGCAGCGATGTTTTCAGTTGCCACTTGCGTGTTTGTCCACGTATTCCCAGCTATGATGAAAGACACATTCAACTCATCTGACAAAGCTGCGATATCCACATCTGTCGCCCAATGTCGATTGCCACATGTTTCCAGCTGCAAAGCAACTTCATGCTGCAACTTTGCCAATGCAGCAACACCTGCACGAATGCGTTTGCTGCGGGTGACAAGACTATCTCCTTCCTGAAAGCGAACTTGCAAAGCATCGTCGAGGACCTGGACATCCACGACAACATTGACAGTGGCCAAAAACTCGAAAGGCGACTTTCGAAGTAATGCAAGCATAGACCATTGGTCCATCCACGCGCCAGCTTTTTCTCGAGCTACACACCCGGCAACAAAATCAACAAAAGCCTTTCCAGACAACTTGCGGAAATGTCGACCAACAACTCCACGCAGAGCTTGTGCGACCGCTTTTCGATCTTTGGCAGCATGACGAGGAGAAAGTCCAAGTGAATCCACCACAGCGGGCATTGAGTCGCGAGCGAAAATCAAAATGGCAGCAACGGACAGGAAGAAGCAATCACCACCACCGCCCGCATCTGCAGCAAAAGCACGCAAGTGGCAGCGGTTCCAGAAAAACAATTTGGTCGGATCGGCCACTTCCGGCACTTGCTCACATCCAAGACCAAGGCAAAAATCCCGCCGCAGCTCCTTCCATTGCATGGGTTGAAATTTACGCTTCTTGCCGCAATGGCCTGCACTGCTGGCCGACAGCTGCACAGCCGACTCCCAAGCACCTCTGGCATACACAAACATACCATCTGCATTTTTCGCATCCGGTCGAGGCAAAGAAGTCGACATTGGAAACGGTGGCAGAAACCTTCGAGCTGCTTCAATCGCTTCCGACGAGACAGATGCCACTTCCTCTAGACGATGCAGAAAATCGGCGATATACTGTGGTGGTCCGTTTTCGAGCAGTGACCAATCCACATCGCCGTTCTCTGTCGTCGGGAAGTTCCGGAACAGCGAATATTGCAGTGCTTGGGCTCGTCCAAGTATCATATAGAGATGTTGAATGTAGACATCCCGGCTGAAATAAGATGGACGAGTGCAGTCGATCGTGTGACCCTGATCGCGAACTGTCTTGCCCTGGCTATTGTTGAAAGTTCCGGCTGCTAATGGTGCCAACGGGAATTGAATCCGCGTGACATCCAAATGCAGCTCACCACGCCGTCGGAGACTGATGTTGAAGGTGTCTTCCGACGGTTCCAACAAGTAAACGCCAGGCAATGCTCGTCCGGTGTAATCGTCAGAACGATCCTCCACTCGGACGGCAATTGCTGCCGGCAGGTAGTCCAAACGAACATACCCAGTTGACCAACAAGAATGCCCAGGATGAGGGACTTGCTGTCCAGGAGCATGACCAGGACTGCCAAAGCGCTCATTGGGATGCATCTGAATGCCAATCACTTCGCACGGGCACTCTTGAACAATTTCAGGCGGCAACAACTTCTTGGTGATTTTAACTTTCAGACCAATGTGCAGAGAAAAAAGGAAATGAGGTTACCAGTTTTGCTTGCCATGTTTGTCACATTTAAAATGTCACGAAGAATGCTGGCATCATTCCCAAACTCACGTTGATGGATCAAATCCACCGCCTGCACATAATACAACAACTGTCCCTGGAAATGCATAAATGGAATCATCCTCGAAGCTACGGCTTGCATGCACTTGCCGTACTGGGCATTGAAGGAACGCGACAAATACATGGGAAAGCCACGAGATATGATTCTAGGCTTTCCCTTGCTGGTATTGTGATCAGCCGAACAGCCAAAAGTAGCACGTGCAGACTCATAAGCACAGACATGTTGAAGTCGAGCAACTTGGTCCCAATTCACAGCACTGAAGACACCACGAGCAAAAAATCCCTTGGGACCGATTTGCAATCCCTTGTCGTCGTACATGCAGTAATCCGATGCCAAGCGAGCATCCCCAGCCAGAGGACGATAAATCTGCCGTGACATTGAATCTTTCAAGGCCTGGGACAACGCCACACCGCCAACTTGACGCATCTTCTCCAGCAAGGTAGCCAGTGGATCGCCTTTCTTGAAACGGTGAGATCCCCGGAAAAGGACGGTTTGCTTTATAAATTTCCGAAACACATTGTATCCGTGCTCATCAAGCTCTTGCTTTTTTTGCCGCTGCACTGGATCCATCTTCTCATACAGTGGGACTCCGGGCACATCGATTCCAAATGCTCCCATGAGGGAATGATTCCGGACCGGATTGAGCTGCAAAAAATCACCTGCCAAGATCTGACAAAGAATATCTCCAAAGACGTGATCCAAGATTTGTCCAGGGTCTACATCGCATCGCCCCCAACAAGCCGATGCGTGCAGAACGGCAAGCAAATTTGGTGGTGTCAATGAAATCTCGTCGATGAAAAAGCAGGGCGACGCGGCGCCATTTCTTGCGCAGCGCCTCTCGGCGATCGCGCGTCGGCTTCTTCAGCAGGAGGTCCTGCTTCCGGCCAAGACCGGCCATGTGGTGGAAGGTAGATCCTCCGATGAGCCGAGCTGCAGAATTCTGCGCTGCCACCCCTTTCGACATACCAGGCAGGTATTCTTCGTATACCGGCAGAATCACTTCGTTCAACATAAACGTCTTGCCGCTCCCGCCCGGGCCATGGACAAAGATGCGACTGACCATATCCTGCAACAGCTTTAAATCACGTAAAAGCAAAAACCATGATTTCAGCTCACACTG